CCACCTGCCTGCGCCGCGCGTCGGGAGCTTCAGCCAGGCCGACGCGGCCACGCGCGCCGGCGGCGTCGTGGCGCGAGTGATCGACCCCGAGGTCCTCGCCGCAGTCATCAAGGGCACGACTCAGCCGGGCGGCTCGACATAGCCAGCACGCCTGCACATGCGGCCTGGGGCCGGGCCCACGGCAGGGGCCCGGGTCCGGCGCCCGGCGCGAACCCCCACCTACCCCCTTACCCTCGCGGCCGGCTGCTGAGCCGCGCGGGCGGCGCGCCCCTTCAGGCCGCCGCAGGGGGGGTTGGGGGTTCGTGGTCGTGCGGGCGTCTGGCGCTCGGTAAGCGCCAGGCCGCAGCCCCCCAGCAGGCGCCGCATGCCACGGGCACAAGGGGGTGCATAGGCGACGCGGCGCTCAATTACTGCATATCCGAGCTTTTGACAACACGGAGGTTGACCATGAATAGCACGGCAGCAGGGCCGCCTTGCGGCCTTGCGCCGGCGGCAACGCTTGCGAACCCCACGCGCGCGCCGCGGCCCGCGTTCGCGCCTCTTTCGCAGCTCAGCATCTGCGTTGGCTGCTCCGCGTCCGCAACGCAACGTGCAGAGCGCGCGGCGCCGAATACGAGGCGTTTGGACGCGCGGACGCCTCGCCGCGGCCCCTGGCCCCCTGCCGGTCCGATCGAAATTCCCATGGCTGCTCGAGCGGCCCCAGAATCGGCTGCACCGCGTTGTTGATTCCTTCGGAACCTCCTCAGTCTCCTTGAGCCCTTTCAGTCGCTGTATGAAGGCTTATCGCGAACACTCGCAGGAGGCGCTCGCGCAGGCCGCTTTGCGAGCGCCTGCACTGCCGCACCTCCACGCCCCTGTGCGCACCGCCTTGCCTCTCTTCGCTGGCCGGCGAGACGCCGTGTCCGCCGTGTGGGGCCCGTCCCGCCTGGCGGATCCTGCTGTACATAGAGGCGGCGCGTGCGTCACCAGGCGCCGCGCCACCCGGCATTGGGTCCACGAGAGCGTTTGCTCCTCGACATCGCTTTTTGGTCAAACTTTGAACTTGACGGGGTAGCCCTGAGGCATCAGCCCCCCCCCTTGGTGTTGACCACTGTAAACAAGAGCGACCCATGCAGCTGTGCTTTGAAATGAGGAGCTGCGTCCTGGGCTCTGCGCCCTACATGCTTGGGGGTGTGTGCCACCCTCCAAGCAGCTTCCGGAGGGCGCTCGCCCTCTGAGCGGCAGCTGTGCTGATGCAGTGTGGTGCGATGATGCGTTTTGAGGTGCACACCAATGATCCTGCACACGTGTTTGCTGCTTCAAGTGCAGCCGGTTGCTGCATCTGGTCGTGCCATGCCCCAGAGGGCTGCCAAGTTCCCCACTGCGGCATGCACATATCAACCGAGCATAAAAGGAAATAACGTGGGCGTTCATATGTGTTGAGCACCCCTGCATCACGCTTATCGTCAAAGAACGACCTCGGTAGTGAACGGGTTACACCTAGACTCGGTGCAGGTGACACGACCGTTGGGAGCCTTTCATGTGCTGGTGTCAATTTTATTGAGATAATTGTTTCGTTTTACTTGCATAGCGAAGGGAGGGATGCACCAACTGCCTGCCGTGACAGCTGCTGTGCTGCTGCAGTGCTGAAATGCGCTGCCTGCTGCATTTCCTCTCTGTGCCAGCAACTGCAAAGCCCCAAACCTGTCTCCAGTGCAGTGATGTTAGTGCAGTTGATTTTCTAAGTCACATACAACACCGCGTAGCGCGCTGCAAGCTTTTCGGGGTGCGAACACACCCGGTTCTTCATCAGCACCAGCGGCGCCAGGACGAGCAGCATGCCGTCCGCCGCCCATGTGCCCGAAGTTGATATATTAACCCCAGATAACAATCGTGGTCACGGAATGAGCGAGCTGAAAGGCGGTGCTTGGGATGGGCTGAAAATTGTCACCGAGGGGGCCGTGAACAAGGGCCCCCGCGAGAGCGAATCATCGCTGAGCATGGCCTCCTGCACGGAAGAGGATTCACTGGACACCGAGGCGCTCGCAGCACCCGACCAGGTGAGCATCCCTGCTGCCGGGCGCATCCGCGACGCGGTGGTTCATGAAGAATGCAGTGACTGCGGCGCGCCGCGCCCGGCGCTCGCGCCGCATAGCACGCTAGCCAGACTCACACTCTGCTGCTCTTCAGCGCAGCGCTGCTACGCGTAACCCGTCAACCCCCTCCCTCACGGCACCCCAAGCCCTCCGAGTTCTGACTCACCTGCCCCCGACCCC